TAAGTCATTTTACAAATACATTAGTTTTCATCCCCTCTATCAGGAAAGTCTTTTTGTCAGCAAATAAGTCTAATCCTCTCTCTGAGGGTGACAATATTATGAATAATTATTTCACTGATAATTTGATGCTACTTCCTCCTTCAGACCTCAAATGGCTTCCAATTTAAAATGAATCTTTTTAGCTGATTCCACATTTACTCTTCCAAAAGTAACTAGGTCTCTCTTTCATGATGAAGTTACTAATACAGAAGGACCCATCATAAATATTCCAGCTGGTTTATATGGTCTATAATGGCAGTCAAGATTTCCTCCTTCTGGTTTCACAACATCCATAGGAACTTCAAAATATTCTAAACTTGTTCCTGTTACAATTATTGGGAAAGATACCACAAAAAATAATTGATTATACTATTATTCCACCTGATAAAATAATTATTCTATCTGATAAAGTTATTCTTTCACCTATTATCATTACCTCTGAAAAAGACATGGCAAGTACTTTTAAAGGGAATATATGTGGCTACAAAGATATAACAGAGAAAGAGACAGCTGCTGAATAGGAAATCACTTATTTTACAGAAGACATTTCAGAAAGGGTGGATGGCAATTTTTCTGCAAGTAAAATCACCCCATTATATGTGGACCACATGATTATTATGTCTGAAAACAGTTGTTCTGAATAGATCTCATGTTAGCATGCCTTTGAATTAGAGACCAGATCACATAATTCCCTTTAAAAGTGAGTATATGCATATATCCCTCCATATGTCTCATGTACCATATACCAGAGTTTCTGCTTTAGTGTGTCTAAAAAAGCACACCCCCCCCCAGAGTTTAAAGCTAAAGAAATTGCCAATCTGTGATTCTTAGACATAAAAGCAAGAATTGTGACACTGTTGCCATTGCTCTAAAATGTTTTGATGCCAACGTTAATACCCAAACTCACAGACTACAACTCACTTCCCAGTTGATGCTGGTAATAATTTTCTAGCTTTTCTGTCAAAATATCTGTGGGAAAAGCTACCATAAATGGTGATGATGACAAAATTCTCTTTGAAGTCCTTAACTTAGGAAATAAAATAATTGAATATTCCCTTTTTAAAGACACAAAACCTATAGTTGATAGCAGGATACTAATCATGCTTTAAATAAAGTGATATTTCCTCAGGGAAAAAAAATACCACCTATCATTTATAAGACATTTACACCAAAGAGAGTAGACACTACCATATCTAGTATATCTGATTTTACTGAAGATGAAACATGTATACCTGCAGTAATTTTTGTTAGCTCAGCTTTCCAGGGATGACATCTCCACTGTGAATGAAAACACAGAAAGTGCAATCAACACAACTCTTACTTTCTTTTATCCATTGAAGAAGATGTGCCCAATGCTCCTGCTATTTCCACAAAGAATAAAAATAGCATTGGTCATTATTGTTTCCAAGACTTACATCTTTGGAACTACTTTAACCTCTCATCTTAACTTCTAATGCTCCTAGTAAATAAACTGCAGCCCCAGACTTGTAAAGGGAATAATTGTGTATTACCCAACCATGTTATTATTATAGCAGCACCAAAGCCTGTGTCTTAGTCTATCTATACTATTTTCTGAGCTGAGTCCACTGGTTCTTCAGACAATATGGCCATTGTGAAACCTAAAATATCTGTTACCTTTGTCACCAAGAACAATTTTTTTTATATTGATGACTCTAGTAATCAAAATTTAGAACATGAAAAAATATTTAGAACCAGAAAAAAGAATCATATTGTTTTCTACTTTTTTTATAATATTGTAAATAAACCAAATTTGTATTACACAAAGAAAACAGCCAAAGCTTCTGCAGAAAAAAACCACAGCTACTGAATTTGAAATGGATTGTCTCGCATATGTAAAATATAGAAAATGTTATCCAAACTGTTCAATATATGTTATCTCAAAGCCTTATCTTGTAAGTAGAGATGTCATTGCTGATAATAAATCAATCAATAATGATCATAAAGTGTCATGCAACTGCTTATTTAACCTTCTACATACACAAGGATTCCCTCCCAGATAGATGTATACAGCCACTTTATATAAGACTGAAAATTCAACCTTGCTCAGAGAAGTAATTACCATTATTCCTAATGATGAAGAAATCTTCATCATACATGGAGATCATTTTTGCAGTAGAAGTAAATTCTTAGTTGTAATTTAAGGTAGCAAATCTCAGAGCAACAGATAGGAATTTCAAACTTCAGAAAGCATAAGAGCTACACATGAATACATTGTTGAGATAGAAAAAAAATATTTCCTAGGTTTCAAGAGCTTTATTTTGTACCATAAACTAACAAGGTTGAAAAAAAAAAAACCACACACACTCTTTATGCTGGTATCCCTCAGTCACAGATAGAAACAATCATTCCAAATAATATCCCTAAGGAGCCTACCAACAACAACGGAGATATGAGGGTCATGACTGACCATACTATAAATGCCATCTTCCCTGAAAACAAAGGAATACTGACCCCCAAAGGCCAATACATCCTTCCACTACAGTTTCCTTACTCGTATTCCCAAGATCCCAATCACTGAAGGAGAGAGGTCAAAAACGTGGGTAGAACCAAACCTCAAAATGTAATTAATTGATTCTCTTACTTCCTTTGTTGTTTCTAAAGGTGGGAATTCTTTTGTGAATGAAGATATTGGACCTGAAACTTCCTTAGCAACTACATTCCAATAACAATTATAACCACTTTAATGATGGTTAATAACTGTTTCCTCCAATAAATTACAAGATCCCAAAGCTAGTATATAAACTCTAAAATAAGAATTCTAGTATCCATATGAGACTACACTTCTCTCGGTTGATGTTTTTAAAATTGTACATAACAACAATGAAAGGAACTACTATTCAGATAAAATTAAACTCATCATTTCATTCAAAATTAATCTGATCATCTGTTCTTAAGTCAGATAATATCTTTTATGGCATTGACCTATTGGTCATATGTAAGTATATTTCCTAGAGCAGATGGTTCCAATTCTATCTTGAGCATTGCTAAAATTCCATCAGGATTTTCATCAATGAGCAGATGGTTCCAATTCTATCTTGAGCATTGCTAAAATCCCATCAGGATTTTCATCAATGCTTCTGCTTTTTGATGGAAGACACACACTCTCAATCTAAAGCATCCTTTATTAAGCCAATGATTTTATAAACATAGATAATGGTAATAATATTCTCCATTAGAAAGAAATGCCTCATTTTGCTACAATAAGTGTGATTCTACCCCATGGCTCTATTACTATAAGCAGAGTTGGTGTGACCACAAAAGAAATCTCTGAAATTAAAAACTATTTGAAAAAGTAGTATCTTTGAAGATGATATCATCATTTCAACTGACATTTCTAACTGGGAATTAAATGCTCAAAAGATGAATATTTTGTTCCTTTCCTAATTCTATTCAACATATTGTAAATACCAAGTAATCAAAGATAACTTTCTGAAGCTATACAGCCAACACCTCTATCTTTTTCACCCTTTTGTACACAAAAATATTCCCTCTAGAGGATACCAAGTCTTCTTTTTATAGCATGGCTTACCTGAATTAAGATTTACAAACATTAGATGATGAGAAAAAAAATAAAAGTTAAAAAACTTGCCATTAAGTTAATCAACCCAAATAATGCCAATACTTTCTTTACTGCCACAAGAACTGACAGTATTTCAACTTAGAAGTAAAGAACCTGTGCCTACCATTAACTTGAGACTTCTTTCCCTGTCCCTGATGCTGTCATTCTCTGTGTCAACAGAAATTGGAGCATTCAATAGTGACATCCCCTTGAAGCAGAAACATTTCTAGAGAATCTGCTCATATCTTTAAAATTAAAAATGTTTATATTGAAATCTATCTAATATTAGTACAAAGAGTGGTAATATCATGATAGGCGACCAATTACTAAGGGAAGAGACACTGTACCTTTTGAGGCTGAGTCCATGTCTAAGAAGAATAAGCATTTGCCTTTGAGATAGAATCCACTTGTCTGCTACTGCTGTTGTTTTTCAGATTTAGTTGTGTCCAAGTCTAAAAATTCATTCTTCTAATGACACTGGAGGAAAAAATAACATGACTACAATCTCCTTTTATCTAATTATCTAAAATTTAAGGGTGATAGTGAAACAAAATGATGGCTGATATAACTAACATCATTAGAGAAATCCCTTCCTCTGAAATCCAGGATACAATGTCCAAGGCTAATATACTTTATTCCACACACAGATCTGTTTCTGGGTGATTTTTGACATACAATTCCAACTTCCTATCAGAAAATTCTTAGGGGTTGAAATAAAATTTTCTAAAGAAAAACATTTCTGAAAAAATTAAAAATATAAAACATGACATTGTCACTGTTATTCAAATTAATTCAAGAAAAAGTCAGAATTACAACAAAGGAAAAAAAAACTATTTTTTATTATGCCAAGTAGAAACATGGGAATTCCCTCTCTGAAGAAGAAAACAGAACTCTTATTACCTAATTACCACTGCAGCTTCATTCACTGCCATTAAATTTTTAGACATTTAAATACATGAATCACAAGAGAAGAAGCTTCACCTCAAAAGACCCTATTACTTACTTGAAAGAAAGGCAACTTGAAGCTCATTCTGATAATCTTGTGGCTCCTGGAGTTTCCCCATTTGATGCTAAACCCCTAAGGTACATGGCAGACTTCCCTGTGTCTGTTTCAAATGACACTAACTCTGTATTGGAAGGCACACCCCTGCTAACACAGAAACTGCGAGTTCCTTGCTATTGAAATATTGAACTGTAAATGTGGATTCCATAATCAGGGAAGACTCTATTGTCTTTTTTTATAATATCAATACTAGGTGCCCAATCAGGGCATAAAAACAACCTCCAAGGGAAGCCAGAGCCACTGGCCCTGTGGTTGATGCAACAATCACCATAATGACCAATGCTTCAGTCACTATAATGAATACCACTCTCCTGCCTGGGGATATCACTGGGCTCAGAGAAAGATCTGTGAGTGTGCATGGTGCCACTTTGTCCCATGGCTGATGATGGTTTTCCAAAAATTTATTCACATCCACCAACAGAAAGCAGTAAGACAATAACTGAAGCAGCCATTCTCTTTGGGACTGACACTATCCCTAGATCAGAAACAACTATTGCTTCAGAAGGAGACCACATTACTTCAGTAAGTGACTATATACTGGAATGTGATTTTTCAACAATTACAAGCAATTGGTTTCCATCTCAAAAGGAAAGACTAAATTCAGAAGAGAATATGGAGTCCTATATTAACTCGTCAACCAATCTGGAGAAAGAAATTGCCACTCTGACCAGCACTACAAGCTCCATGGCTAATGACTCTATTACTGAAAATGTCATTCCAGTGAAAATTGGTAATATCTCATCACCAGTCACTTCTGTTTCTTTGATAGATTTTTCCACTAGCATGGCAGAAAAAGATATTCTCTTGGATACCATTGATCCAGGAGATAAAGATGTCCCAATAACTTCTGAAGTCTCCGCTTCACTAAAGAAAAGCACTTCCAGTGTTAATGACATCCCTGCTCTTCCAGCTAAGGGACAACTTGATGTCCACAATTATAGTCCCTCAGTGAAATCCGATGTCAGTGCTGATGAAGTTGTCCAGATGACTGACTCTTCTATTCCTGACACCAAAATTGCTCCAACTCCTGAAAAAAACTTCGTTCCAGACATAAGTACCTTTACAGAAGAGAAAATAACTGAAATTGACTTAATTCTTCCGAAAGATGACCCCAGTGCTGATTCTGATGAAGAAAAGTTCATCACTGTGTTTGAATTTACTACCACTGACAAAGGAGACCAGAATAATCCAGAAGATATTCTGTTAACTGATGAAGAGTCTATGGGTGGAGTTGATGTTTGGATGGAGAGAGAATTTGCCAGTGAAGCAGATAGCCATCCTGTTTTGCTTACTGCTATTGAATCCAAATACGACTTCGTTGTTTCTAAAACAGTACCTTTGAACCTCTTGGAAGATTCATCTCCTACAATGAAGGAAGATTTGTCTGAAAATAACAAAATGGAACCTGTAACTGAGGCTACTGAGGCATTTTCCAAAACTACCCTTGATCTAGATAATCCAAGCCAAAAGGAAGACACTTTTACAACTGAAATGGATGTCTTTAAACTACTGAAAGAAGAGCCAAATAAGTTCCTGATTTGAAAGCAACAAAAGAGTTGCTATGTCCAATTGTGTAATAGCCTAGACATTCAGTTTTAATATGTAAGAAGTACATCCAACAACAAAAAATAATAAAAAGAGAAAGTGGGCATTTAAGGCAAGTATTAAACTTAGAAATGTAGATGCTTAGGGATAGAAATAATGCAGCAAAATGTGCTTATGGAAACTTAAAAAACTTGACAGTACAAGAGTTTCACTCATATCACAAAGTTTGAGTAAGTTATCCAATAATCAGAGATATCAAGAGAGCAATAAAGAAAGCTCGCTTTCTGCTACATTTAATGATTTATGACATTTTAGTTAATACTTAATTGCATAATTTACTGTCAGTTAAAGATATAAAGAAATATTAATAGATCTAAAATGCCTATTCTAAACATTTTTCATTAGTATGTAACTAATGATTCTCACTTTTTTACTTTCTAAATTTTTTATTGATAATTTAATACTCCTATGCAATGTTTTATTATAAATTAATGGAATTGTGTAAGCATTTGAGACCAAAATATGAAATCACCAACAAAAAAACAATATAATTTTTAAGAGTAAAGAAATGTAACAAGAACTTTCTAATGTAGAAAAGAAAAATTTTTATTCTCACCTTTTATAATATATAACTGCAATCTTCACTCATCTAAGAACTGAGGCCCTTCAGTAATTGTTTTTGTGTCCACGTGTAAGAAACATAAGTATTGAAGGTCTATGGAGTCAGGCAAAATGATATTTTACAAATATGTACATTTGTCAAGAACAAATTTTTATGTAAAGGTATGAATTAGTTTAATTTTCTTTCTTTAAAATGTCTTTCCTGAATTTTTGTCTATTTTTTTCAGGTCTTAAGCATTGATATCACACTCTTCTTATGCTTTGTTTAGCAATTCAAGGACATATATCTTCGTCCTTTTCTGACACAGATTTCTGAAAGTCTGCTTTCACTTTGTTGATTCTTCAATAAATCTTGACAGCAACTGATTTACTGTGTGTAGGTGTGTTTGATATTCTAATACAGGATTCACAAGTTAGGAGAGATGTAAGTAAAATGAAAATCTATTATTTTTTTTAAAGAATAACTTAATTCAGGACACCAAGAATAAAATTATTCTATCAATATATAGACTCATAATTTTATTGTATATAAAAAAAGGCAAAAGAAAAAACACTAGATGAAAAGTAAATGGTATGCACATATGGGATACGGGGGCAGTTGGGAAGGTTAAGGATTTATACTATTGGGTAGACTATAAACTAGAATGCTTATGGTAATATGTTAAAACATTAGTAACACATTTTAACAAAAATTTAGTAACATGGTAAAGTGAACTGCAAAACCATGGGATGAGTTGGTTAATTAATCTTGCTTTAACAATTGAGTATTTGAGCAGAAAAATCAAGATAGAGTACTATTTAAAACCACACTATACTCTCCCTGAGTCATTCCCCTAATGTCACTTCCTTCAACCATATAGACCCCTGTATTGTCTCTCCCATCACAATGCCCCAATGATACACAATATCTTGCTATATGTAACATCCATAATTTAAAAAAAAAATGTCTGTTGTATTAATTTCCTAAGGCTGAGTTAACAATTATTACAAAATAGATGGCTTAAAAAATATAAATTCTCTTAAAATCCTGAAGGATATAAGTCTGAAATTACAGTGTCAGAAGTACCAAATGGTCTCTAAAAGTTTGAGGACAGAATCTTTCCTTGCTCCCTCCTACCTTCTAGTGGTTGCTGGCAATCCTTGACATTCTTTGGCTTATAGACTCATCACTACAATCTCTACCTCCCTCATTACATGATGTCCTTTCTATGTGTCTTTATATGCAAATTCATAAGGACACCAGTCATTGGGTTACCCCCCCTTAATCTAGTATGACTTCTTAACTTGGGTACATCTGCAAAGACCACCATATTTGAATAAGGTCACATCCATGGGTTCTTGGAGTTAGGAATCCGATATATTTGGTGGTAAGGGAAAAGATGTAATTCAACTCATAACATCTGTTTAATATTTATCTTTCCTACTATATTTTATGTTTGCATAATTAAGAAGATCACATGAGCTGGAACTGGTTTGGCTCAGTGGATAGAGCGTCGGCCTGCGGACTGAAGGGTCCTGGGTTCGATTCCGGGCAAGGGCATGTACCTGGTTGCGGGCACATCACCAGTAGGGGGTGTGCAAGAGGCGGCTGATCGATGATTCTCTCTCATCGATGTTTCTGTCTCTCTTTCCCTCTCTCTTCCTCTCTGTGAATAAATCAATAAAATATATTTTTTTTAAAAAAAGATCACATGATTTATCATCAAAACTAGAACACTTTTGAGACTGAAAGGAACCACTATTAATAATAACTCCAAAGTAATAGGAATGAAATTGGCTGTCTGGAGTAACACAGCTAATCATTTCATTCTAGAGGAAAGGGATCATAACCCTCTTGTCCATTGCTCAATCCTGAGCATTTTGAACATAATAGATGCTCAATAAACATGTTAAATGTATGAATAAAAAAGTCTGGATAATCATTCTATTTACTAGGCAATGAATGCTCTCTGAGGAAGGATGATATAAAATGAATACTCAAAGATGAATATGAGTTTACCAGAATAAGAAGGGGATAACTGGTTTTAAGCAGAGGGAGAAGCGGGGGCAAAGATCCAGAACATAAAAGTACTTGGTGTGCTCAATAATATTGAAGTTACAGCACAATAGATCTGAGATAGAATAGTAACAGATATATCAAATTGTGACATTATAACCTTACAAAAAAAAATAATCCAATTGGGCCAGACCATGTATATTAGAGTTCTCTTGAAGGGGTTGGGGGAAATAATGATACAAATAGATGATAGCCATAGATAGATAGGTACATAGATAATAGATTGATGATGATGATGATAGATAGATGATAGATACCATGTTTCCCTGAAAATAAGACATCCTCTGAAAATAAGACCTACTTACAGGTTTCCTTCTGAGTGAAATATAAGGCATCTCCCAAAAATAAGGCCCCCGTAGGCTAAACATGAGAGATTTGGTCCACTGATTCTGAAAGAAATGGAGTCACAAGAAATTCACCAGGAAATTCAGGAATTGGATTGTTATGATGATGTTCCAGAAGATGATGACATGATTGTCATTGAATAAATGAGTAAATTCTTGATACTGTAGGATTCACAGTTTGTCTGGTTTGTGTTGACAACTACCGTACTACCGTACCATGTACAGGTAATAAATTTCCTTTATTTTCATTTAACAATAAATGTGTACCGTATTCTTCTTCATGGAAAAATTAGACATCCCCTGAAAATAAGACCTAACGCATCTTTGGGAGCAAAAATTAATATAAGACACTGTCTTATTTTCGGGGAAACAGGGTAGATGATATATATAGAGAGAGGAGGGAATATTTCTTTTAAGAATTGGCACACAGGATAAAAGTGAAGGAATGGGAAAAAATTTCCATGCAAGTGGGAAAGAAAAAATAAGCTGGAGTAGTAATACTCATATCCAACAACATAAACTTTAAAAGCATGCTAAGCGAAATAAGCAAGTTAGAGAAAGATAAATATCATATTACCTCACTCATTTGTGGAATATAATAAACAACATAAACTGATGAACAAAAATAGAACCAGAGGGGGAGAAAAAACTAGAGGATATAATACAAGTAATCCTATTATTTGCTGATTTTTAATATTTCCTACAACTTATGTGATATCATACTATGTTAATACAGTTTGGGTAATATTATACTTAAAATCCTTTTATTCTTAAAATATTAATGTTTATTGCATGTAATATTGTTATATGTAAGATTATTTTTCTTGAATAATTGATATTTATTGCATGTAACATTATCATATTTAAAATCATTTTTCTTGAAATTAAAAAAAAAAAAAACTGAAGAAAAAAGAGAAAGAAATTGGCTTATAGTCCTAACCAGTTTGGCTCAGTGGATAGAGCCAGCCTGAGAACCAGTGGATAGAGCGCTGGTACTGGGTTTGATTCCCATCAAGGGCACATATTTTGGTTGCAGACTCCTCCCTAGCCTAGGCCTTGGTCAGGGATCCTGTAGAAGGCAACCAATTGATGCGTTTCTCCCACATTGATGTTTCTCTCTGTCTTTCCCTCTTTCTTCCACTCTTTTTAAAAATCAATGGAAAAATATCCTCAGGTGAGGATTAACAACAACAAAAATTGGCCTATATACTTTGGAGACTGGCAAATTAAAAATCCATACCCCAGATTGGCTGATAGGCTGTAAATTCAGATAAAAAGTTATAGTCTTGAGTACAAAATCCGCAGGGCAAGTCAGTAGACTGGAAATTTAGACATGGTTTCTATGCTTTAGTCTCAAAGCAGGATTCCTCCTTTTTAGAAAATGTCAGTCTTTGCTCTTAAGGCCTTCAACTGATTAGATCCTATTCACAATGAAAAGTAAACTGCTTTACTTAGAGTCAACTGATTGTAAATGTTAATCACATCTATAAAATACCTCACAACAACATCCAAACTAGTGTTTGACCATAGAGTCAACTGATTGTAAATGTTAATCATATCTATAAAATACCTCACAACAACATCCAAACTAGTGTTTGACCAAACAGTTAGGTACTCTAACCTAGCCACATTAACTCAAAAAAATTAACTTATCACATCATATGTAGCAATTTGGGTTAAAATTTCACAGAACAGTTCATATTTTCTGAGCCAGTTTCACTGGAATTAACATGGTTTTTTGTTTGATTGATTGATTGTTCATTTTTGTTTTGTTTTGTTTTGCTTTGCTTTGTTTTATTTTGTTTTATAGCAACTAAAAGGAGTTTTAATGTGAAGTGCTTTGATAAAAATATTGAAATAAATTTTCTGAAATATTTCATTGAGAATATGTACATGAAGTTTCATGGAGCTCCCAGAATTCTAGGTACTAATACCCTGTAACACGGTTTAGGAAATGCTGATATAGACAATGATTG